AAATTGGCAGAAAAAGATTTTGGGATGAATCCTGTTGCTGAAATTATTATGGAGAGATGGATAACCCAATCTTGCTTCCATATTCTTTTAATCTCTTGCCTCAATGTTTGGTACTTCTCAATTTTTTTTTATTTTTGAAGTTGTCTGTTTGTAGAACACTACTTTTCATAATGTATGTTTTTATTCTTATTTATCAGGAGTATAATATCTGGATTATTAAAAGCACTTGTTTTACCTGTGATAACCTGCTTGTCCCAGTGTATTGCAGTTTTCATTTTCTAAAACTGGAGGTGGCTGGAATATATAAACTGGAGGAAAATATATGGGTGATTATGCAAGCCACTTTTGTATACTCATTGTTTTTAAGCTTTAAATATTGTCTTGTAATAATGTAAGCCCACCTTAATATACTCATTGTTTTTAGCTTTAAATATTGTATTTTAATGATGTAAGCTGCCTTGGGTCATTTTTAAGGAGAAATGTGGATTAAAAATATTTTAAATAAATAAATGAATAACCCATACAATTTAGCAAACTGCTGAAAAGGTATCTTTGCAACTTGGTTATGCCTGCAAATATAATGTGCTGATGCTAGCTTGGGTCATCCGGCTATGATTTGGTGAATTGTTTCCATAGATTTGTGACAGGCTCTGTGTATATCACACTTTGTTTCTTAATTATTTTCTGACAATATTGTGCACAAATAACAAGATCCTGGGTTATGTGTATGAATCCCTCCATTTCAACCTGAACACAGCCTCATTTAAGCCACAGTCTTAAATTATCACCATTATTCATTCTAATAGCAAAACAAGTTTCCCATTTTTGCAGGAATGTAGTCAAAATGACAACTTCATGTACAAGAGGGAAGCATCACCAGAGTCAGGGTAAAACTAAAGTTTGCAGTGATATGAAAAATCTTAATAGGGAAAAAGAAGAGCTTAGAAAATGACTTGAAAAGCATCAAATATAAAACCATGCTGGAGCTATCCATAACTGAGTTATTACTGGATTTCTTGTGAATCCAAAGAATCACTCTGCATACTTCTGCTAAGATATATATTGCAACAGCTTTGGCACAACATATTATAAAAAAGAAAAAAAAAAGACATGTAGTCCTTGTACACAATCCAAAAGCAAGGGTGAGCAATACCTTTATTAGAACATGAAAATCTCACAAAGAAGCTTTAGAGCCCTACAGGCTGGGCATTACAGAGCTGTTGGGGTGGGAGGTACAAAGGAAACAGAAAAGAATATCATGGCCAGATATTGTTATGTTTAAAGCAATTTCCAAAATGGAATCTGCAAACCTTGCAAAATCATTTTGAAACAGAACAGTTTCAGGTTTCACCCCAGGCAACTTGGATTTCATTGTTATTCTAAACGCTGATGGACAAAAGACTGCCAACTACTCAGTATTCCCCTGCTCCCATTGTCTTACATTGGAGCACATGGCTTCTGTTTGGCTGGGAACTAAGGTAGACAGAGACATACGGAACCCCATATGCAACGAGTTTTGGATAAAATATCGTTTACATACTAGGTGAGGAACAGTCAATTGGAGCCAGATTAAGAGTATTATCCAGTTAGCTGTAAGAAGCCCTAGTCTTCAGTTTGGTGCTGAATCTCTTGAGTGATTAGTGGTAGATGTCCTCCTTCTGCTGCTGCTGTAGTCGGCTATTCAGGGTAATTTCTATACCCAGCCAAAAAAAAGAGAGAGAGAGAGAGAGGAGAGAGAGAGAGAGAGAGAGAGAGGATGTCATAATAATTCCTCTTAAAGTACCTTGCCCACACTCTGGGGTGGGGGAGAGGGAACCCATAGACTAAAGAGGAATCACCTCCCCCACAAAAATCCTACAGGGAAATTATGTGGCAGAATGTTGACTGAACAAGAAAAGGAAGAACAGAAGAATGGCAGAAGGAAATTAAACTTGGAAGGAAGAAGAGAATAAAAGGTATGTAGACACTAAGATTATTTACATCACAAAGCCTTTTAAAAAGTCAGCAGAGATGTCCATACACCTCAGAGGAGAAATTGAAAGACCTGAGTAGTTGGGGTTTGGCACTGTGTCTAACCATCCCCCAGGAAACAGTAGGCAAGCAAGCAAATTGTCATAGGCATCCTTCAGTCTCGAGAGAAAATGGCAGAAGGAAATTAAACTTGGAAGGGAGAAGAGAATAAAAGGTATGTGGACACTCAGATTATTTACATCACAAAGCCTTAAAAAAAAGTCAGCAGAGATGTCCATAGACCTCAGTGGAGAAATTGAAAGACCTAAGTAGTTGGGGTTGGGCATTGTGTCTAACCATCCCCCAGGAAATAGTAGGCAAGCAAGCAAACTGTCATAGGCATCCTTCAGTCTCGAGAGACTATGGTAGCGTGCTCTGTATGGAGGACTTGGAACAGCGTCTAGTGTTTTGATGCTGTACACGAAGCTGGAGTGTTCTCTCCAGAGCACGAAGGCTGGTTAAAATAATATGGAGGATAGGCTGTTACCCGACTAGCAAATCCCCCCTCTCCACATCTCCGAAATAGTCCAATGGAAAGGCAAGACCCAATACAACTGGTTTCAGCAACATCACAGGAGTTGACAGAATGACACGAACTGCCTCCGGGACTCTGGCTCCGTATTTTGCCTCAAGGTTAACTCCTAAAGCCTTTTCCATCAGTGGATATAGCCACAAGGCAGGGGAGGTTTGAAATCAGAGTTTTCCTTCTCTTATATGGACTGCCTTCCAGGGCTGAATAAGTCCCACCTACCTGGCCTGTTCTCTCATGGCATGGAGGATGATAGCGGTGCCTCTGTGGGGGTTTGAAATCAGAGTTTTCCTTCTCTTAGATGGGCTGCCTTCCGGGGCTGACGAGTCCCACCTACCCAGACTGTTCCCTCACGGCATAGAGGACAATGGCGACGCCTCAATGGGGGTTTGAAATCAGAGTTTTCCTTCTCTTAGATGGGCTGCTTTCCAGTGCTGAACGAGTCCCACCACTACACTGGCTCTTTTGGAGCAGGCTTGTCTAGGCTAAATGGGGTCACTTGGCCATGGGTAGAGGTTTGATGTGCCATTTGGTGCAATCTTCACATCCAAATGTCACATCCAACATCAGAGCTCCAGCAACCCTATTTGGTCTAGCTCCTTCAGATACAGTATTGCAAAGTGGCTTAACAAGTGAGTCACATCAGGATATTGGCAAACTACTTCCTCTGCTCCTTTCAGTGTTAGATTTTTTAAACCAAAGAAACAGATTGCTACAAAACTGCTGCATTAGTTTGCACTGTGATTCCCTCCCTTTGTTCTTAAGTACTTGTAATAATTTAAGGCTCCACTTACCTTGGAGTAAGAGCCATTGGAACTCAGTGGAACTTCTGGAGGGACCTATATAAATGATTGTCCTCTAACTGATTTTAATGCACAATTTCCAGAGTAAGGTGATTCCCACCCCAACCCTCAACAGCCAGGTATGACCACAACCACGGCTGCAGATATGTCTTCTTTCTTATTCTTAAACTGCAGAAAAGCAATATTTCTGGGGGGAAGGCATCAAAATTTCCCAAATCCCACCTCATAGGTCATGCGATCAAGCCTACAAGATCAGGAGGCGTGATCACAGAAAGAGATTTGCTGCACTGGAAGATTTTGGAAGCTGTTCCATGGGATGGGATAAGTGTATTCAGAGGAGGAACCCCAAGCAGCTCAGACATGCCTTTTGGAGAAGCTCATCTCCCCAACATGGACTGCAGCCTTGAACAACTCCTACAACCTATACAGTCTTGTTGCTGCTACAAATTCTGAATTACCTGTCTCCCTCAGGGCTTGATCCATAGCCAAAACCCCACTCTTCTACCAGGTTCTTCTTTTTTAAAAAATGTTTTCAATTTTAGCGTGCACATGAGGTACATGCACTCACTGACCACTCTGCCAGGAAAGTAAGTTGTAATGCTCCTGTCCAGAGGTCCGTTTAATCTGGGGTGGATGTGGAATCAATTCATTGGAATTTAATCCACAGATGTGAATGCCCTGCCAGCTTTTTTAAAAAAATTCCTGCTACCAGATAGCAGGAATTTAAAAAAAAGTACTGGGCTTGCCCCTTCATCCGTGACCCCTCCCCCTCACTTGCAAGCTGTCTCACCCATCTCTTGCCCCTCACTCACTCACACACCACACACACACACACACACACACACACACACACACACACACACACACACACACACACGTGTGTGCCCATGCCCTCTCCCCCTCCCCCTTCCCTCTCATCCTCATCCCCTCCCTTTCCATTCTCCACCCCAACCCTCTTGTCGACCCCTCCGACAGGAGATGGAGGAAGAGGAGGAAAAGGGAGAGGAGGAAGAGGTGGCAGGCTGAAGATATGCAAAGGGCCACAAAAGTTTTGGATTCACATGATTTTAGCCCCAACCCTCTGCCAGTTTATTCCGGTGGTGGGAACAGGCCCTCACTCTTAAGATTTCCCATGCCTGTCAAAGCCAGGTCCAGCGTTGGAGCATCTGACTTCCTTCTCTTCCCGCCTCCCCAGGAAAGCAAAGTGCTCAGGGAAGAGAGGAGAGTGAAGCTGCCTGCAACCCTGGCTTCTCAGAGGTAAGAGGCTGCCATTACCCCCCCCCCAAAAAAAACTGTTTCAGTTGGCTAACTCAGTTTATGTCTAACTGTTCCAGTTAACGTGCAGAGGCAAAGCTCTGCTTCTGTAGGCATTTTTTGAACATTACCTTTGTTTTGAATCCGCATGTGTTTATTATGCATACTAATAATATGTGACCTGGCAACCAGGGTTTCATAATTCTAGTTTCACAGAAACTAGAAAAGTAGTGAGTGGGGCCCTAATCCTGACAAAAATGTTTAGGGCTAAATTTACATTAACAGCACAGAGGCAGGCAGTGAAGATACCCATAGAAACATTATCACACAGTTGAAGAAACACATGGAAGACCATGTCCTACTCACCCCACCCACCACTGCATACTGATGTGCATGTTGGGCCCATGTTTGGCATCAGTGTGGAGGGGCTGTACAGATGAAGCCCACAATGGCACTCTTCTCTGCAGATGCGGACCTTCGCTTAAGGAGACTTCTGATGCCTGTGGTGGGAACCCATGCACATCCATTGAGTTACATAAATAGAGCCTCTTCACAATTTTAAATTTTGTCACCCTGGATTTACTAGTTCAGAAGTAATTTCTACTAAATGCCCTAGAAATGATTTATTACTAGTTCTATACATCCCTAAGCAGTAAGCCCCATTGACTTGTTTTACTCCCAGGCAAGTAGGTAAAAGGTTGCAGACTATGTCAACGTGCCTTGGTCTGCAGTGTTATACATCAAAATGCAGGAACATGAAACATAAAATGGGACACAATCTTTTGGTAATACATTAAAGTAGTGGTCCCCAACCTTGGCCCTCCAGATGTTCTTGGACTTCAACTCCCAGAAATCCTGGCCAGCAGACGTAGTGGTGAAGGCTTCTGGGAGTTGTAGTCTAAGAACATCTGGAGGACCAAGGTTGGGGACCACTGCATTAAAAGAATTATGTACAACTGGAGCAGAGGTGAAAAGGGGTGGGATTTCAACATGGTCAGGAATGTAATGTTCAAGTAATCCATCACAACTCAGCACACATTCTCCATAGCTTTTATATCATCCTATCACACCTCACTTATTGTTCATTTAGGGTTGGAATACTTTTCTGTCCATCATTGAGGGGTGGGGGTGCGAGTAGCACAACTCCACTTAAATGAGAGAAGTGTTATATCACTACAGCCTTCTTTCATTTAAACAATGTTCCACTAACACATTAATTTGGGAAAAAAATTGATGTGCTGAAATTCAGATTATCATCTAACTGACAGGAACTGTGTCACACCCACTGCTGCAGATGGAACTCAAGTATAATGAACATATAGAAAAAGTGTACTCACTGTAATATTTGGGAAGTCAACTGCCATTTCACTTATATCTTACAAAAAAGGGAGGGGTGCTTATTAGTGCATGGACCACCCATCTGGAAATAATTATACTTTGTAGAACTATAGACAGTTATGTAGTGGTAAAGCTGGTAGTGAGGGTGGTCATCATGATGGTCCCCATAGCCAGCTCTCATAAACAGAGTCCAAAAATGCAGGCAGCTAAATGAGGAGCTGGTGTTTTGTAAAGCTAATGGCTCTTAACTGCCAATTCAAGACCAAAATACTATTAAATACTTAGCCTGCAACAACATAGTGATTCTGTGAAGATCCATTTCTTCTTCAAACACTGTGAAAACTGCAGCTAAGCTGAAAGGCAACAGGGAAGTTCTGGTGGGGCAGAGGGATAATCTGTTGCTCAGAAGGTGTTAGGCTTTCCACCCTGTAAGCTCTGGCTCACTACACCTCTAAGTAAAAAAAAACTACCTCCTCTTGATTAGGGATGCAAATCCTCATTAAATTCATCCTCACGTTCATGAGGGGGAAATTATTTTTTTTCTCCTCATGGCAATATTTCAAAATTTGTTGTACTTTAATAAAATGTACAGTATTGGGAAATATGATAGCTGTTGCCTTGTTGGCCGCATAAACTAGGCAGCGTTCGATGTGTTTGGTGTACACTTTGGGATCATCAGACAGAAAAATCCCAACATTAATACTTAAGGAAGCAGCCTGTTCAGCAATTTATCATTTGCAAATTATGAGAAACATAACAGGGGGGAAAAACCCTTTGGCATCTCAGCCTCATACCATAGATCTCTGGAGGGGGATAATGAATGTTTGCAATGCAGACTCTTCATGCCTAGATGGCCAGATTTAAGAAAAATCTTGGGACCAATCTTGTTGTGGATGTACAATTCTAATCCCATGGAAGGAAGGAGGCTTAGTTTGTGGAACTTCTTGATGGATAAATGTGTTGCAGCAAAAAATAAAAAAGGACTGTTTTGATCATTTGAGAAGCATCATACTAATGCATGTGCTCACCACACTGGTCCACATGAGCCTGTGTGCAAGGGGTCCTAACCCACTGGGATATATAGAAAATTGACTGTACTGAGAATTTTCAAAGATTTACCATACTCGCACCACCCAGACAAAACATTAAGTACAATTTGCAGTCAGGTATTTAAACCTGTCATAGGGACGTCTGTGCCTAGATGGCCAAATTTAAGAAAAATATTGGGACCAATCTTGTTGTGGATGTACATTTCTAATCCCATGGAAGGAAGAAGGCTTAGTTTCTGGAACTTCTCGATGGATAAATGTGTTGCAGCAAAAAAAAAAAAAAAGGACTTTTTTGATCATTTGAGAAGCATCATACTAATGCATGTGCTCACCACACTGGTCCACATGAGCCTGTGTGCAAGGGGTCCTAACCCACTGGGATATATAGAAAATTGACTGCGCTGAGAATTTTCAAAGATTTACCATACTCGCACCACCCAGACAAAACATTAAGTACAATTTGCAGTCAGGTATTTAAACCTGTCATAGGGACGTCGTGGCGTTGCGGGTTAAACTGCAGAAACCTCTGTTCTGCAAGGTCAGAAAAACAGCCGTTGTAAGATCGAATCCAGGAGATGGAGTGAGCTCCTGTTGCTTGTTCCAGCTCCTGACAACCTAGCAGTTCAAAAGCATGCAAATTCAAGTACTGTAGATAAATAGGTACTACCTCAGTGGGAAGGTAATAGTGTTCCATGTCTAGTTGCGCTGGTCACATGACCATGGAAATGGTCTTCAGAAAAAAACGCTGGCTGTATGACTTGGAAACAGGGATGAGCACCACGCCCTAGAGTTGTACATGACTGGACTAAATGTCAAGGGGAATGTTTACCTTATTTAAACCTGATACATTGGGGGAGGGGACAGAGAGCACCTTGTACATTTCTAAAATGTGTGAATGTGTCCATGAATCTGCCCACTAATAAGGAAGATCTGCACAAACATATGCACAGTATTTTTTTTCTTATAAAAAAACATGACAACAGTAACAAATCTAAACAGACTTGCATAGAAAGGACTTGGAGGTGGTAGAAGATGTCTACAGAAACAGATGTAACAAATCTGCCTGTCCCTACTAACCACATGTTCAAATGGATGTATGAACTATTTATTACCGACACCATGATTGGAGTAATACTCACTTGAAAAGCAGCCTCAAGGGCACATATTAGGGCTTGATATGTACCCCTGAGATTTCTTTCCCAGTAATTAATGAATAAGACCCCCTCCTCTTCATTGCGTTCTCTGACATTAGCTTCACACTTTTGGACCTGCCTTATCGGCTGCTAATAATAACTCGCACACCAAAACAAATGGCCTACATTGGTTTCAGGCACAGCAAATAGACACGATGCAAGGCGAAAATGCTTAGTGTGTCCCTGTTACCATTCGTAAAACTATATTTCAGCAAAACCAAAGCTTTAACTGAAGCTTGTCTGCTATTTGGATGTGTCTCTGTGTATTTGAAAATCCCTGCTGGGCCTGACTCTAAAGGCATAGATGCTGTGCTTTACTCTTAATATTATATTTATAATACTTTCGAAGCTAATGCCAGTTTATCCTCTGAATCAGGCAAGTGGCTGGCTGGCTGGCTTGCTTGCAGCATTATTGCCTGATGTGGACTACTCAAGGTGTGGAAACCACCCGGCATAACCCGAGTCTTGTCATGTTGTCTTGTTTAAATAACACAATAAGGAAATTAAATAGATTTCTAGTTATGCAGCTTAGTGTTATGGAATATGAAAACCCTGAAGAATTTCAGGAAATTGATTGCCTAGGGAGGATTCTTAAATACTTATGGCTATTTGGGCGTGGGGGGGAGCCCAGATTCTCTGACAACACTGGAGCTCTTTTGATATGAGTACAAAATACACTGCCGTGCCTATCTTTATAGATCTAGGATCATATACTTATGTAGGTTCTTTCATATTTGCAGTAATGGGATACAGCCATGGTATTCCATTTATCAGTTCTGAGGTTGGATCGCTGTAGGTTTAATGCCCTCTGCTGGGAGAATCAATAGGTTAACTGATTTCTCTTCAGATCCATAATCACCCAGTCTGATGCCTGAGATGTACAAGTGAAGGACTTTAGAGGTTTTCCAGTGTCAGTCACACTCAACGCCTCACCAAAATGAAATGGGGAGGATGGCCACGATTAATCCTAATAATTAATTATTGCATTAAGGCTTCACGCAGTGAGCACACAAGAAAGCAGATGCAGGCTGTGCTTCTACTGTGAAATAGTTATGGGGCTAAAAAGGATGCAGAAATTGGTTTAAGGAATTTCAGCCTATTAAAATATCTCATCACTGATGCTTGCCAGATACTTCTGTGAAATGTCTTAGTAACTCTCAACATCCCCCACCTCCTGTTCTTGCCTGTACTTTCTTCCCCAAGGAGAACTACAAGTGGACAAAGGTATTTGGCACATTCACCACCATCCTAAAACGCCCCCATGGGCAAAATTGTATTTCCAGCTTCCCTGTCCCACTGAAAAATCGCCACTGGGAGCAAGCGGTGAGCTCCCAACCTACAGGCCATACCTGGAATTGCTGCTACTGAGTAAGGCAGTTAAGGTCAAAACGGATACCATGAGGAGGTTGGGAGAAAGTCCCCATGCATTCTTCAGCTGCTGCAGGAAGATGCCTTCCTCCTGCCACTGCGACAGAAGATGTATATGACTGGATCGATTTCTGGCTCAGCTGCCAGTTTGGCCCATAGCTTGGGGCAGTCAGTTTTAGACTGATCCTTCCTGAATCTTCTCCACTGGCCACATTGCCTTGGGAACAGTGGGGGTTATTGTCCCCCAAAGTAACTTTCCCTGGTTTTGAGCACTGATGTGGCTCTTTATGAAGTGTCCCAACTCCAGGTGGCCTGTCCGGCATTTATATTTTTTTCAAAGCACCACACTAACGTTTACCTGTTTGTTCACTGATTTAAGAAAGGTGAAGGGAAGGGAAGGGAGGAGAGGAGATTTTTCTACTATGCATACCTGCCCTGAGTAAGGCCAGAGGGTGTGTGGTATCATCATGGGGAGAAGCTACTAGTTGAGCTTTGATATTTAGCTTCTGTTTCAGATTTAGAAAATTAATATTTAGCCCTCACTTGATCCTA